GTGGGCAGATCACTTGAGGTCAGGAGTTTGAGACCAGCCTGGCCAATATGGTGAAACCCTGTCTCTACTAAAAATACAAAAAATTAGCCGGGTGTGGTTGGCATGTGCCTATAACCCCAGCTACTTGGGAGGCTGAAGACAGGAGAATTGCTTGAACCCAGGAGGAGAAGTTTGCAGTGAGCTGAGATTGTACCACTGCATTTCAACGTGGGTGACAGAGCAAGACTCCATCTCAAAAATAACACATGTGATGCTCCATCAGAGCACCCCATTGTACTCCCTTGAAATATGCATGGTACATAATAGGTACTCATGGAGTTCCTCTTCGATAGGGAGGGGACTGGGGTTTAGCTGCTGTTTTCTAACATCAGAGATTACTAAGTCTATAGGGTTTGTCTCCAATGCCTCCACTTGCCGTTTTGAGGCATAGATAATAAGCTTCTGAGCTCCCTGAACAGCAATTACCTGATGGGTAATTCCTCCCAAATGTGAATCATAGGAAGCTAGACTGGGCATTGTGGCTTCTCAATCAAATTGACTCCAGGATCAAAGGCAAGGAGAAATAAGGAAAACTCGACTCTGCTCTGTGACTGTTCCCTACTCAATATCGTATTTGCAATCTACATATTCCATAAGCAGTGGAAATGCCTCAACCATTTCTTGAACGAAATGGAGGTCTATGAAACTGCACGTGCCCCCTAGCAAAGATAAATAATGCATAGAGGGAGAGACATGGGGTCTTCTTGTTTACTCAACCACAAGCAAAAGGGATGTTGAGAAAGAAGACTATGGGTGGTTAATACAGTCGCTAAGTTCACCAACCTGGAGAACAGCAGGCACAGTTCACTGAATGCATGTCACAGGATGGACCAAGTTGTCACCTTACATGAATTTCCCTACGTGACCCTCTATCAACTCTACGGGGGCAGATATATCCCCACTCTCTCTTATGGAAACTCTCTATAGACGTTAAGTAAGCTATCCAAGCCAGTATGGGTAGAATATTCGGGCTCAGTCTTATTCACCTTAAATCCAGTGTCTTCCTAGGACTGTAAAATTCCATAGACTATGTAGACCTATGTAGACATTACTTTCTAACTCTTCACTCGGTCTCATTCAGTTGATGTTGGCATTTGGGACTCAGTTGGGAGTTGGTTGGTTTGGTATAGGGTTTTCCACTTGTACCTAGGATCCCACCATGATCCACAACTGTCCCTACGCCTGGAGGAATCATCATGTATTAATGCCCCAAGAGGTTTCTATTTAGGCATGTGAGATAAAAGAGAACAGGGCCTCTTCATTACCTGTGTTCTTCAGCTGCATGGAAGGGCTTCAGAAAATATCAAGACATGGAAGGAAAAGGCAAATCAAGAAAAGGAAATGGATGAATGCCTGGGCACGGTGGCTCATACCTATAATCCCAGCACTTTGGGAGGTCCAGGTGGGCAGATCACCTGAGGTCAGGAGTTCAAGACCAGCCTGGCCAACATGGTGAAGCCCCATTTCTATTAAAAATACAAAAATTGGCCAGGTGTGGTGGCGGGCACCTGTAATCCCAGCTACTTAGGAAGCTGAGTTTGGAGAATCGCTTGAACCCAGGAGTTGGAGGTTGCCGTGAGTCGAGGTCACACCATTGCACTCAAGCCTGGGTGACAGAGCGAGACTCTGTCTCAAATTTTTTTTTTTAAAAGGAAATTGATGAATGTAGGGCATCCTTAAGGACTCTACTCATGTGACTATCTTTGTTGGATACCTCCAAGGGTCACCCAAGCTTCCACAAAGGTAGCCATGGAGATTCTAAAGGATATTTTCTTCAATCTCCCAGGAAGAAAATTGAAGCCATGCATGGACCTAGGATACATTTTCGACTAGTATTTTAGTAACAATATAGATTCATATTGGATACCTCAGGAAGAACAGATTTAGGTTGGCAGATATGCCTTGAATTGGTGACAGTGGAAACAATAAATTCTTAAATGCAGTTTGTTAGGTGACATCTTAGAAAAGATGAAGATTGCTTGGGGGTGTGGGTGGGGGAGGGGTCACAGGATAAGATTTCACTGTGGCAATTTAGGAAATGTTTGGACTTAAATGTATCCCCTATTTCTTCTCTTTTAGGATGCCTTCTATAAACACCCAAGCTAGACTAAGGACCTTGCCCTGGTATTCACATAATACCCTCTTGTATCACTTATGTTTATTGAAATTGTTGGCTTGTATGTCACCCCCTGCCCCAACCAGAAGAAATACCTCTCAAGGTGCCATTCGTCTCTTTAGCACACAACAGTGCCCTGAAGCACAATAGGTGTCAGTCATAGGGCCATAGGGTGACCTGAACTGGGCTGGGGTAAAGACATCAGTCAAATCTAGAAGTTTTCCTCCAAAGGACTTTAGAGAGAAAAGGCTACAGAAAATGTGCTCTCTGGACCACGTGAATCCTGATGATGCTATGTCCTGAAAACAAGTATTTCCAACCTCTTTGCTACTTGCTTTCACTGAACACAAGATAGGGGTCCTTACTCTTTCAGCCAACTCCTGCCCCTGTGTCCCACTCTGCTCTCTTCCTTTCCAAGAGGAACTATCCCCCTGCCATCTCCTGCAGCCTAATCTATTTATTCCAGAGGAAAAGGAAACCTTTAACACGTTGGGCTCAAAGTTTTTCATTCCGTGCCAATTCACTCTCGGCAGTTTGTAATCCAGTGAAACACCCAGGCAACCAGATGAATTTCCTTCTTTTTGACCAGTACCTTGCTCTAATAGATAATTGTACACATGAATGCTTGCAACCCCAGTCCTGCTGGGGCTTCTACTTCTTTGTTGAGAATTTGATCTTGCTTTTAAGTATGGCTTCAGAATTCTAGCCATACTATTATCAGGAAGGAGGCACAATCCACCATTATAACCAAACTGATCACAGATATTGCTGGAATATTAAAATTAATTTTCATCCCAAGTAGTTACAAACACGTTGTTTCATCATTTGGAAATAGTTGTGTCTCTCCCTGGTGAACATGGCATTAATTAGTTACGCATGGCTATTCCCAGCAAAGAGCATGTTCATTATAAGTTAGCTAATTTTGATTTTACAGCAGGTGTGTTATTCTGAGATGTTTATAAATTGTTCGTGTGAGGATAGCCATACAATTTTCCTTTTATTTCTTTTGCTGTTTAATATAGTAGTGAGATACGGTAGATATACCAAAACGCTTCAGTTGCCATGTACTGAGCACAATTTTCAAATGAATGTGGTATAAGTGTGCAATTTTGCATTTATAACTTATGAATCTTGCTTTAGTAATTACATGAGCCCAAAGGTAACTTCGGATTTTCTTTTTCCTTCATAACTCATTACATGACCTTGGGAATAATCTTCATTTTTGCATTTCTGGATCCATAAAATGTGCTCAATGCTGTGATACCAGAGATTAAAAATTACACTATCAACAATTCCTTCAGTGCATGGTCACATAAAAGGCTTAAGACATGCAAATATATTGGATAGGTGCTAGGGAGAATTTATAGCCAATTGATTCTTGTTTGTTACTATTCACCATGTTTTCAGTTACAATATGTGTATATATAGAGAACTCTTGTTTTGTCCAAGAAGCTCAAAGTTGACCCAATTCTAATGACTACACAAGAAATTTGATGGACATGCTTACTACTTTTCCTTAATTTTCCCTTCCCTGATGGTTTTACCTAGTCTTTTTTTTTTTTTTTTTTACTATTTTATTGTATTATTTTTGAAACATTTCAAATGCTCTGGTTTGGAATGAATACATAATGAAAAAGTGTTTCTTTTTGTCATGAGTATAATAGATGATCTAGGCTAATACAGATTTTCTGAAAGATTTACAAGCAACAGAGTTATAAAAAGGGCATTTAACCCTTTTCACACAGTCTTAAATGCAGCCATATTTTCTTTTGCACACCAGAAAGCCAGTCACTGGGCAGGGAAGGCACATGCCAGACTCTTCTGGGGACTGCTGAATTTAACATAGAGCAGGCTTTCCCAGCTGCAGCACGACTGACTTTGAGCCTGATAATTCTTTCTTATTGGGGACTGTCAAACAACATCCCTAGACTCTACCCAGCAGAGGACATAGCATCTCTCCATTCCTGCTGTGACAACCAAAAATGTCTCTAGACCTTGCAAATGTCCCTTGGTCTGGGGCCACTGCCTTGGAGGCATTCCTCTCTCCCCGACTGCAGAGGTACAAGAATATTCAAGCAGGATCCCTAAAAGAGGGACAGAGGGACTAGCATTTCAAGTCTGCCACCCAACACGCCAGTACCATTTTTTTTTTCTTTTACTGAGCATTCACACCATTCCTTGATATTCGCCTGGCAATATCAAAGTCCATGCACAGAAGGATCAAATTGGCAATGGGAAACCAATTTGCGTTGTCCCCACAGAGGGAGAAAGGAAGGCAAATGCCATTATGGAAAATGCAACTGCAACGCATCTTAACTCCAATTTCATTAATTCTTGTATGTTTGCATGTGACTCAACACCTAATTTTCTCTTTGCAGGCAAGGGTTAGAGAACCTTGAAGCTCAAGATACCCCTGGGGAGGGGAGCAAGACCACCCCAGTGATTTTTATGTGTGAAAACCTCACGTCTTTCTCTGGAGGAATTCAAGGGGCAAATGTGGTCCAACCTCCTTAATAACCAGATGTTTGCAATCATCAGAAATACATCTTTGACTGTAACCATTTCTGTGTTCTCCAGCATTCAGTCTCAAAGAGAATTTACATAACAACATGTGACATGTAGAGTGCTTAAAGGCACCAACCATGACAGGACAAATTACACTCATTTTTCAACACTCTTAGCAAGGTGCTCCACTGCAGGTGCGCGCGGGCTGCATGCTGGGGGCAGTTCCGGGGGTGGCAGAGAGGGGGGAATCAAGACCATCATGCGCTCACAAACAGTTCCGTGCCTCTGGGGGAGGCAGGGCTGGTGCAGGGAGGCCCGCCCAGGAGGCTGCCCCACTTACCCGCCATAGGCCGGGATCGGGGGCGGGGGCGCTGCGGCCCTGAAGGTGTTGTACACGGTGCGGCCGCGGCCTCGCAGGTGCGCCCCTCGGTAGGCGGCCGCGGCGGTGGCTGCTGGATACGGGAAGCCTGGCACTGCGGGGCAAGAGGGGGGGGAGAGAGAGAGAGCGAGCACAGGCTGTCAGATGCACACCCTGCTGTGGAAGGAACCGTCCCGGGAACCCTTGTCCCTGCACAGGGTTTCAGCAGGACCCCCGCCCGCTTCCCAGAGTCAGGAGGTTAAAAAGCAGAAAGCAGCACAGTGGCCAGGGTTGGATTCCAGAGAGGATGGGTAGTTAACACAGTAGGCCATTTGCCCAGGAGAATATGGTGACTGACAAACATTTGCAACGAATTCTAAATAACGGGAGGAAAGCTCGCTGCATCAGTATTTAATTAATGAATTTATTTGAGACAGGGACTGGTTCTGTCACCCAGGCTGGAGTGCAGTGGTGTGATCACGGCTCACTGTACCCTCCACTTCTAGGGCTCAAGTGATGCTCCTACCTCAGCCTCCCAAGTAGCTGGGACCATAGACAGCCAGGCGTGGTAGCATGCTCCTAATTTTTTAATGTTTTGTAGAGATGGGGGTCTCCCCAAGTTGCCCCGGCCGGTTTTGAAATCCTGGGTTCAAGCAGTCCTCCTGTCTCTACCTCCCAAAGTGCTGGGATTACATGGACCAAACATGGAAAACCCACAAACACATTTTTAAAAGGGCAGATTGCAAGATGTGTGATGTCTTGCTAGTAATCTCTGTGGCCGAACTACATGAGTGTTTTTTATTCATAGCTTTCCCCATCCTATTTTTCCACAGTTTCCTTTATGTATAGATGTCATATGTTAAAACTGCTAATTGAAGTATTCCCACTGACACATGTATGTGGCATGAGTGCACAAACCACACATGCCATGAGAAACAGCTTATTACCAACATCTCATAAGCCTGCTAAACTCTTGTGCAGTATTTAAAGGCAAAGGCAACCACCATGATTACAAATATGGGAGAAGTCTGGGACCCCGAATCTTAAGAGAATGTGTGGGGCTGGGCATGGTGGCTCCTGCCTGTAATCACAGCACTTTTCGAGGCTGAGGCCGGTGGATCATGAGGTCAGGAGTTCGAGTCCAGCCTGGCCAATATGGTGAAACCCCATCTCTACTAAAAATACAAAAATTGGCCAGATGTGGTGGTGCATGCCTGTAATTCCAGGTACTTGGGAGGCTGAGGCAGGATAATTGCTTGAACCTGGGAGGTGGAGGTTGCAGTGAGCTGACATGGCACCACTGCATTGCAGCCTGGGTGACAGAGCAAGACTCTGTCTCAAATAAGAAGAATGTGGGCAGGGATATCCTCCCTTGGGTAGAATTCTCTGAGCAGGATGAGGAGGCGAGGAGGAGTTAGGAAGGGGAATTAAGCCTGATAATTACCCCAGACCCCTGATAACTAATGCTGTCTCCTCTATATGGGATGCTCTTCCTACCATCTCATGCAAATCGTAACTCATCAAGGCCCATGAGGCCAGGAAACCACTTTTGCCTTTAAGTTCAGTTGGTTTCTCTGACCCTTCCAGTGCTCTAACCTTTCTAACCACACTTGCCCCATCTCACTAAGCAGCAAGCTGTGTTTCCCAAAGTGTGCACGGAGGATACCTGATGATTACCTCAGCCCCAGGATAACCAATGCTGTTTCCTCTATCTGGGATACCCTTCCTCCCATCCCATGCAAATCCTAACTCACCAGGGCCCATAGAGCCAGCAAACCACTTTTGCCTTCAAGCTCAGTTCACTTCTCTAACCCTCCCAGTGCTCTTGCCATACTGACTACGCTTGTCCCATCTCACTAAGCAGCAGGCAATGTTTCCCAAACTGTCCACGGAGAATGTTTTTCTGAAAAAAATGCATTTGGGAAGTCCCTGTCCCAGGAGAGCCACAGTAAACACTCAGAAAAGGCCCACCATGAAGGAAGCACTCTTAGTTAACCCAGCACAACCAAACTCCTTTTCCAGGCTTTCTGCAGAAAAGCAAACCTCTCACTGGGCAGGGGTTGTAGTTCATTTCATGTTAAAGTTGTCTCCACCCTCTATCCAAACTGCCAAGAAGAGCTTCTCCCCTTCCCACCATCAGCTTCAGGAGTAGAAGTGTTCCACCTTATGTATTCCCATCGTTCAGAGTCCTTTCCACGCACACTGATGCATGGACCCAGGTGAGGGTTGCAGAAGGAGCAAAAAGCCAAAAGAATTGGAAGGTAAAAAATGCATGAGAAGCCTCACTGGAGGCCCCAGCTACTACTGAGGAGGTTGGACAGGCTGGCCATGCAGTGCACTTACAACTCCAAGAATTATACCTACGCCTATAGATAGGATATGTTTGTACCTACATGGTGGGTGAAGGGAGTGGGTGGGGTTCTCCACAGAAGTCATTCTGAATTACTCTTGTAATTATAAGGACCCAAATAAAATCCCTGAACCTGACCAAAGTGAACACCAACAGGCTATTTATTATCTGGAATTCTGTGTGCTCTTAAAGGAACAACAGCCGTCCTGTTCTATGGATTCTACCACATCTTTCTCTCACAATGTGGGTGAAATACGAGGATTATAGAATCCAGAATGATTCTGTCTTTCTATTTGTATCTGAGAAGACCATAAAGGTTATTTTTAACCTTTTTATTCTTGCTAAAGATAGATTATGCCATTTTATTTAACTTTTTTTTGCCAGCTCCTAGCACCTGAGTTTCCTGGATCGCATGGCAACTGGCATGCTTGAAACTGCAGAGAGGTGTGGGGTCTTAATGGGGAATGTGAGTAAATCCTAATATCATAAAAGCCCAGAAGTAATGAGAGATGAGACACTTGATTCAGGACTGGGGAGAAAATGAGTGTGGGAATGGCTTTGACTCCAAATCTGTCTTGCCACAGTTCAACTATTAAGTTTTCAGAGGGACACCCTCGATTTTGAAATAAAGAAAATGAAGAATTCACAATCTGGCAGAGCAGCTGGCTGCCTATGTGAGGAAACACGGTAATTATGCTGACCCATTCATTATCACTGGCTATGGAGCCGAATGAGCCAGACAAGCTCCCTCTCAGCCACAAGCAGGTTTTACAATAATTCTTGGAGGATTTAGATGTTGAGATATAACATGAAACAGAAGCTTGGCAAGAGAGAGAGGGGAGCACGTGCTGTTAAGAGCATGGAGCCAGGATTCCATTTTGTATCCTCTTTGTTACAGGGAGAAAATGGATTTCCTGATGGAGGATATTTACAAGTCTTCCTAGGAGGTTCTTTGGGCTCCCCCAAGCAGGGCACATTAGGGGACTTCTTATTTTGTGAGAAAAACACAGGAAGGGACTGCAAAGCAATTCCTCGCTTAAATAGTGCCTTCCTGAAAGGCCAAGTACCCTTGGTAAAACAAAAGGGTTCCACAGGTCATGCTTTGGGCCAGAGGCTTCGTGGAGAAAGGGCTGGAGAATTCAAGTGTACTGGGTGGATGGTATGTTCAGTGGTCTCTTTCTTGTTAATCTAGGGCTGGCCAAGGGGCCTTTTGGTGAAATCTCTAGTTAGAAAAATGCTCATCGATCACATTGCCTTTCTTTCTTAAGTTCCTTCCTTCCTTCCTTATACTTGCTCCTTTCTTTTTTAATTCCTTCCTTTCTCCTCCCCTCCCTCTTTTCTTCCTTCCTTTTGTCTTCCTTGCTTCCTGTCCTTAACTCCCTCTTTTCTTTCTTTCTTTTGTCTTCCCTCCTTCCTGTCCTTCCCCCCTCCTCTTCCTTTTTCTCCTTCCTCCTCTTGCCCCTCCCTCTTTCTTCCTCTGCTCTCTCTTCATTTATTAATTCCTGCCTTCATTACAATCCTTTCTTTCACTCTTTTTTGGAATTTTTTTCTAAAGAGGGCTGCCCTGTTCCTCCCCGGGTTCATGTAAAAATCATTAGCTTGGATCAGAAATGAAGGAGGACTCTCACTGGTGCGTGCATGCAAGCTGCATAAGGGGGGTGATCTCCATTTGTTCTGCTCATTGATTAGGATGAGTAACTGGCACCAAGCAGGTATGAGATACCTAATACTATTGCCTGGACACCCTGTCGGTGGCTAACCAATGATTGTCTTCCTTCTGGGAGAGTACAGCCACCACCTCTTCACTGTCTGCCTTCCATAACACTGTCCTGTGTACAAAGTGACCTGCCCAGAATTTGCAGATAAACAGCATGCAAGCAACACAACTGTCAGGCGTTCGAACCAGAGCGACTCCATCTTAAGTGGGGGCTAGGAGAAAGGCCAGGACCTGCTGGACTGCATTCCCAGAAAGTTAGGTATTCCTGGCCTCTAGATGTTTAGGGTTAAGGAAACAGATTGATAATGTTGACTAAACAGACCCAGACTTGGGAGTGTCCTGATATCCTGATATCTTGAGAACAGAAAAGCATTCCTAATTTTGCTTTAAAGATAATATCGATTCTTGCAAAATATAGTAATTAAGAAAATCCTTTATCACAAACCCTTGTAGCAGAGCACATTTCCCCATGATCTTATTTTCTTGTCCTATATAAACAAGTATCATACCTAGGGGTGGAAGTGCTCCTCTTCTTACTTTTGGCAACACCCTACTGTCTATGGAGTAGCTGTACTTTCCCCATTTTACTTTCTTTATAAACTTGCTTTTCCTTTGCACTGTGAACTCGCCCTGAATTCTTTTTTGCACGAGATCCATGAACTCTCTCTCTGGGTCTGGATAGGAACCCCTTTCCTGTAATACAACTGAAATTTAGTCGCAATCCCTAGAAAGATAATTTCCATTTCTACCCTTGTACGTGTTTCACTGCCTCTGAAAAAGTAACCAGATTTTGAATGAGTATGATTTCAATCAAGCAAGGGGGAGGCTGCTTGGACCAAGTCTGTTGCACTCGGAATTATCAGAGCCTTCAATTCATTTAAATTCTCCTCGATGGCAGCACACTATCGGGATTTGAAATTGTTTCTTGTTTTGGGGGGAAAGCAGGACTCCAGTTTTGGCCCCAGACAGGTAACACCTATTAAAAGGTCTTCATCATGTCTCTCCTTCCATATAGCCCCAGACAATGCTGACAACCCAGCCACAACAG